TAAACTACTCTAAAAATCGTCGAGTTTTTACATTTTTTGGTAGCAATTTATTTTTCTTAAACAAAGTAGGCAGCGATGCTGTCCTATTGAAGCGCTTTTCGACAAAAAGCCCAAATTGAGAACCGCTCAGCAGCTATTCTGCTGAGCTCTCCTAAAAAAGGAGAGTTCAGCAGAAGGAGAGTTTAGCAGAATAGCTACTGGGCGGTTCTCAATTTGGGCTTTTTGTCGAAAAAATGCTTTGCCGTCCAAACCTGCGAAAAATCAGCAACTGATAATCAATTCTTCGAAACAAGCCCATTCGAATCGAGAAATTGTTTGAGTGGATTTTGCACCCATCAACTACCCATTACATGAGATTACATGAGAGCTATTGGATAAATTCTGCGTCTTTTTCTTGTTTTTGAAAAAATCATTGCCTTTTTCTTGGTCGCTGTACCTTTCCTGATGGAAACGAGTACTCACTTTTTTCTGATTCTCTTTAATTTCTCACTTTTAATCCTTCCTGGAACTGATCGGCACCTTTTTTTATCACTCGAATATTACAAATGAATAAACAGATAGGTCAACAAACAAGTAAATTCAAAAACCTCGCAAAAAATTCTCATTTTCAGGGCATGCCAAATGCATATCATTTTGTGGTATTTGCAATAGCTCTGGTAACATTCGTACTCGGTTTATTTGGTAACATAATGATCATTTGGGCAGTTAGAAAGCATAGCGATCTGAGAACGAAACATGGTTAGAATTTTTAAGAAAAGGCTTTTTTTTTCAAAAATATGTAAATAACTGATTCCAATTTCAGGTGTTCTATTGTCATTTTTATGCTTTTATCAATCTTTGGTCCTAATGCATAATTTGGTTATTTCTTTCCGAAATCTTTTCGACGATATTACAAATCGACAAACTTGCTTTTATTTTCTACTTCCACAATCGTTCTTTTATAATGCTCAACTGGTTCTGGTACTTGTTATTTCACTTGATCTAGCCTTCCTAGTGTTCAGGCCTACCAAGTAAGCCATTTTCCAGACTTTAGACTTCGCCTAAGCCTTAAGCCACTTCTTTGCTCTATTATTTCCAGGTACAATACGGTACAGTTATTTCCATATACAATTCTTGTACAAATACCGTCCGCTTTATTTGCTTTCGCGATTACCATTGCCGGAACTGTGATTATACGCAGTGATAAAGTACAATGTAAGTTGAATTGCAGTAAATTACGGTAGCGCATGAGAGAAAACGAGGTTACGGCGCGTTCATTTACTTTGAGGGCATGTCTTGGAAAGGGTAACGTTTTCGAAATTGCCCCATTTCTTCTGCGATGTGCTCACCCAGTCGCTTTTCATTCAAAACAGTTGGTTTTCGGAAAGCATTTTGGTGGTACAAAGGGCAGGCGATGTAAACATCAACGGTGCGACCCCCTAAGGCAACGGGATACAAATCGTTCGATTCTCGACCAGCAGGAATGGAAAATTTCGTGAACCCTGGCGGATGGGTAGAAGATTTGGTCTTTAGACTACATTTGTGCTGGCTTTCCGACTTGGCAAGAAAACCCCACGTCAATCTCAAATTCATTGGGTAGTTTTGTTCTGATTATTATGGATTCAACCCCAAAGCGCTGAATTATGGACAAAACCGTCAGCTTTGATTGGGATGGAGCCCGGACGCCTGTTTCATGAGAACTGTATTGTATAATGGTAAAATGCTCACATGATTTTAAAAACATCGCAAAGTTACCTTGAAGGGTAATGAGCTCCACAAAACCCACATAAGCGGAAGCATCCCAGGCTGGAAAGTGCCTAAAAACCACTTGCCCACAAACTGCTGCGCGAATGGATGGGTTCACCCGGAGGACTAGCTTCTTCTCCCTAAATTCGCCAGAAAACAAAGTTCCCTATTCGCCCTAGCTAACTCCAACTCCTTACAGGGTGCGATTTCGCTTCGTCATTACCAGTTGAGCTCAATTTGATATGGAATTTATCGTCGATCGGAGTCTGTGTTGCAATTATTCTCGTCTACGCCCTGATCTCCTTCGCAATGTGGTTTAAAGGTAATCCTTTAGGCTTTCGTTCACTTTCTCACCGACCCTAATAAGTTTCTTTGAATACAGTAGTTGATTCAAAAGAAATGTTGCGTAGCTCCTGGTTACTGTACTAGGATAGTGAGAAGTGTGTTGAAACATCTGCAGGGAAGGAAAAAGAAGTTTTCTTTGAGCTCCTATCGCAATAAGGGCTAAGAAAATGGGTGTGGTGCGTTAGGAACGAAATGGTCGCGTCGCGGTGAGAGGTGCGTCGCGAGCGAAGAAATGTGGCAGGATGCAGCAGTAGGTAAGAAATACAAGAACAAAAGTACTAATAGTAGAATTATGCATAAAATAATGATCGCATATCGATTGAGCTGTATGAAGAA